CGTATCAGCAACTCTTCCTCCGTAGTAGTATCAGCATTCTCTGTATCAGCATTTGCTATATCAGCATCCTTTGTATCAGCAACTCGTATCAGCAACTCGTATCAGCAACTCGTATCAGCATCCTCCATATCAGGGAGCCTCAGTATCAGGGAGCATCAGTATCAGTATCCTCCATATCAGTGACTCGTACTACTATCAGCATCCTCATCCATATCAGGGAGGAGCCTCAGTATCAGCATCCTCCTCCTTAGTATCACCAGCAAGCCTCCATGTTRSCATCCTCTGTATTGGCATCCTCCATATCAGGGAGGAGCCTCCGTATCAGCATCCTCTGGTGTATCACCAGTATCCTCAATATCACCAGTGACTTGTAGCATCAGTATACTCTGCATCAGCAGCATCCTCCATATAAGCATCCTCTGTATAAGCATCTCTGTATCAACAAGCCTCTGTATCAGCATTCTCCATATCAGCAAGTGTCCTCCATATCAGTGAGCCTCCGTATCAGCTAGCCTACGTATCAGCATCCTCCTTATCAGCAAGCATCCTCCGTATTAGTGATCAAAAATTATAAGTTTGYACCTCCATGCATCCAATCCCCCAATAACCAGGTTGCATTGTTGCACTCCCTATGTATTTTCAACAGCTGAGAATGCAACTCAGAGGCTACTGAACCTCACTTCTATTACAATACAGTATACTGTTCTCTCATGGTAAAAAACACACAAAAAAGTCATTACAGTTGCAAAAATAGGGGTATGACTTACAGTAGTATGTGGGTRTTTTGGGTCATACTAGGACTATTTAGTGGGAATTTTTGTGGCCAGTGAGGCAATAATGAGAATGTAATTTTAGTTGCAAAATACCAGTATTGTACTTGCACTTCATTGTAGTATTATTTATGATAAAAATTCTTCTTTCCATCTGTTTCTTTTTGTCATTCAGGTCCCTCCTGAACCCAAGCCYGCGCATCCCCCTGTTGAATTGCAACATTTGGGGGGCATGATTTTCTTTGGTTATTTTTCCCTTGGAATAGCCCACCATTCTAAAATGTGGATTATTTTTCAGCAAAAATAATCCATGCTTTGAAATGTAGGTTCCTGGGTTAACCCACAAATAACCCACAGAGTCAAATAATCCACAAATAACCCATGAGTTTCTGTGAGAATCCCCAAATAGTAACCCACAAATCTGCTGCTGGGCCTATATTTAAAAATGACCAAAAACAGTAATTAAATAACATTGMTGACTAACTGTAAAWTTGTGGGATATTCATKGGTTATTTGTGGGTTATTTGGATCTTTTATGGGTTATTTCTTTTCCAATGAAGTAACCRTTGTTTTAGAAACATGGGTTATTTCTCCYGTGGAATTACCCACAATTCTAAAAGGTASATTATTTTTCACCAAGAATATCCCATGTTTTTCTTGGGGGAATTCAAACAGGGGGATGTRTGTGTGGGTACCAGAGGGCCCAGATGTTTCCWACTAGGTAGAATAATCTTTAGARKACYRCAGTAGTACAATGGTGGGTGATTCCCAGAAACCTAGAAACCTAAATCCTACTAGTTTAGGTTTCTACTAGGTTTATGGGAATCAAAAATTTGGGGGCCTAGATTGCTGTGTAACACACKTGTTTTTGAAATCTAGAATTCTAAATAAACTTACCAAAATATAACTGCTCCCCTGCTGATGGTGGGAACATTCCCCAGGAAGATATCATTCCCTGTCAAAAATGCCCACTTTGAAACAATGCCAGTAGTAATARAGACAATCATCTTGGCCTGGTGGGAACAGATTTCAGAGGAGGARGAGGAAGACAGCAGRGAGCAGCAAATGAAACAGAGGCACAGAGGGGATCAAAGAACACCCCTGATTGTCATTCATAGATACACCAAATCAGCCTTCTTGCATGTCCTTCATCCTGGGAGTGATAAGGGTCTTCTAAACTGCTGTGGTGTAAACAACAAGGTCTTTGGGGAGCTTCTTTCCCTCTTTGAGCCAGTCATTGATAGTACCAGGTACTATCTGGTGACAAATGATAATAAGATCTGTGCCTGCTCCATGACCAACAAAATGTCTGTAAAGGGAAAAAGAGGGAAGCAAATGCAACATGTTGCCCTTGATTTGTACTTAATTGGTATAGAACAAAGGGGTCTGTTCCAAGATGAGGGTCGTCAATGGCCTTTGGACTTACATTGTGGACTGATATTTACAAATGGTGGATGATGTTATCTGTTACGTACTCCAGAATCATCTGGTCCATGGTCAGCATGCCTTCCAGAGAGGACGTTGACTCTTACATTGAAGCAATTGGTTGAAAGTACCACTTGCTGGGGCAGCATAGGGCCTGGGGGGGTGCTGCTGATTGCCTCAAGTTTGAATCACAGCAATCTGGCAATTGGGTGGAACATAAAGAGCATTTTAATGGTTGGAAAGCTTCCTGCTTCATCAATAATGTCTTTGTCTTTGCACCAGACAGGAAGATCCAGATATGCACATACAATTGTCCTGGAAGCTGGCATGATAGTACCATGTACTATGACTATGGAGTCTATGAAARGATGGAGCATCTGTACAATCAGTATGGTGCCAAGGTTGTTGTTGACTCTGCATTCAAGCTTACAGGGAAAGAGTACTTCCTTTGAAGCAAGTAAAATCCTGCTATTAACCACTCGGGTCCTGACATTTTCTTGAATAGTCAAGCAACAACTCTCAGACAGCTGTCTGAATGGGGTATGAGGATGATTCAGTAGGGAGGGTTCTGTAGMCTCAAGGCCAACAAGATCAGAATGGAAGATTTTGGTGAAAGGAAGATCATCATAAACCTTTTGATTCTTCTGTACAACTACCAGACCAGCAAAATTGTAACAACCAGATTCTCAGCAACATCTTCATGGAGAGTGATAACAACAGCTTCTTTGCTTAAGAGCAACACTTGGGGGATGATGAYGCCATGGTCTTCTTTGAGGGCTCAGATGAGGACCAGGGCTGCTGCTCAGATTCTGATTCCACATCACACAAACCAATATAATGGTTTCTTAAGTTTCCTGTGTGGACCAAAACAAAATTCCGTGCATATTTTTCAATGCTCCARTACAAAACTCATGGCCCTTTTCCCTGGAAAATGTTCTCACATCCTACTTTCCTCAGCACAAATTTCACGCTCTTTTACAGGGTTCATACTGTTTTTTWTTCTCATCAGTTTTTTCTCCTCACAACACGTAGACTTCMTTGTACTATTGCCAACATTATCTCACTGACAAAGAAACTATGCTGACATTATCAATTCTGCTCAGATGTTTTCCTTTCCTTATTTTTGCAGTTTCCAATTTTTCCTGGYGTTCAATGTTTCTCTCTAACTATCCATATATTTGTCATCTCCCATTTGTATTATTATATCTCCATTCTTTGTCTGTTATTTGTCACAAAATAATATTTTAGTAATTTACAAAATTATTGCCAGGCCCAACAATTCCTTAAGATCTGATTGTGATTTATCTGCTACAATGCCTGTCACGTTCACAGAGCTCATAACAGAGATGATTTCATTGAAGTTAGTAAGCCATTCTCYCCTGCTATGAACAACAAAGAATTYGTCACTCAATCCAACATTGCTGACGACAACAATTTCTGAGGAGTGAATGCTGGAACAAGGAAAAATGTACAACCTGTTGCGYAGCATACCCTTCTTCACAAAGGAATGGGGTTTCCCATKGGCATTCTTTYGTCAGCTGGATATTTCTTGTTCTTCCAGAAAACAACAATTGACAGCATAKTAACCTTYGTTGTGGRCATCAAATCCCCTAACTGAGTACGTACCAATTGGTCTGTCAATGTTGAGAAAACACAGTATCTGGCATGGATAGCACTTCAGAACAGGACTGCCATTGGCCATCAACCAGATAAACACCCMTTTTGTTAGGAAGATGGAGCAGAAAATACACCCAGTCAAACCACACATTGCATTCTTGTCCAGAATCAGATTTGAAAGAGGGATGTGCATGGAATATAAGYTTTTTGGTTGTTGYYGAGTCCATTTGCYTGTGTTTAGTGAATCCTTYCAACTCCTTCATGGTGACTGCTTCCAGCACRTTGTTTGTACAAAAATTAATAACCTCCATTGGTAAGCAAGGGAGATTTCTCTGTTGGTTGTCCTTTCTTGCATCCCATTTCATGTATGGCAAACCTGTATTGTCTCTTTTTCAAATTGTAAACAAAGATCCACCCCTCTRTTTAGGAGACTGAAGATTTGTTACCCAGTTGTAATAGTCAAACTCAAGGTGAAGTCAATCTGTTGTGCAGTATTCCATGTGATGCTTGGYAGTTTGTTTGATTAGTGACTAAGATGTTTAGGAAGTTCTTTTGGCGGGTGCTTTCACCTCAGTCTTATGGTTGCTCTTGCTCCAAGAGGAGTCCCATCCAGAAGGAGGGCCGTATAGCCCGATGTATTGGGATAGATGAAAATAGATGTGGTTCTTTATAAGATTGTTGCCCATTCCATCCGTCCTTGTGAGGGTATTTGTCAATATTGTTAATAAAGTGAACTACCATCTTGTCTAAGTTGTAAGCTCCAAACATCCCTTTTGGGTAYCTGAARACATCTTCCAAATTTTGGTTGTTGGAGTCATTGTTGGCTAAGCCTGCGTTGACAGAGGGTTCAGTAACAAATATATCCCATGGTGTCTGACTATTTCAAGGATTCTTCCATACCCAATAGGAGTTCCAACGCTTGTCAAATACACCTGTGTATCATGTCTTTGGGTTGACAATTTCTGAGTAGCCCACKCCCTTCCTTTGACAACAAGCAGAGGATCTGCAGTTATAGCATTCCGCCAAARTGGTTGCCCTCCTTCTTTGCAGTGTGGATAGACTCCAAAAAATTGGTATGGGGAAATCACAGCCAGACTGCCTCTGGAGTGATGCACTGTAATGGTTAGCTATTGCAYCCATAGTACTGTCAAGGAGCTTCTTTGATGTTCCAAGAAACACATCACGGAAGGTTTCTGTTGCTCTTTTTGCACAGCCTAACTGRTGCTTATTAAGCCTCTCCCCCAGAGAAGCAAGAGGATGTTAAGAGGTTGGTGTTGAAGCCTTGCTCCTGAAGAAATATATGACACAAGGAGGAGGCTTGTCCTCCTCCTCTGTCTCATTGTCACTTGTTGTAGTAGTAGCTCTTCCACCAGCACYCCTACTAGTACTTTTGTCCACCATCATGATAGAAGTAGTTTTTCTCCTCTTCTCCAGGAGAAGGTCCTTGTCGCCCTCTTACTTCTCCAAGTAGCATCATTGCTGCTGTTGYAGTTTTCTTCTCCTKCCTTGACCAAGTTCCTTCCATGTTGCTTCTGGTTCAAAAAGTACAGCTTTYGTCCTTTTCTTTTTTGGGCATGAGTAGAGACTTGGTGTCAATTTTTGGCGTGTTCTCAACAGGACTGGATTATTTTGAATCATAGCTTCCGTCCCAAAAACCCAGATAGTGGAAGTCAGGGTGGGGTAGACTTCCACTACCTGGGTACTTATGTGTCTAGAGTAGGTATGCAGTGGCCTAGAATCCAGGTTTCTGGGTTTCTAGTCAACTAGTAGTAGTACTAGGTTTCTGAGTTTTTTCTGGGAATGACCCAATTTTCAATGATATTTGATTTGTGTTTGGCTGTCACATAGGTCATTCTTACCTAAAACATTATTTTCTGATGTATGTCGTAGCAGTAGGAGTACTACTGAGGAGTAGTACCAAAAATGAAAAATGGGCACCACTAGTAGTAGGTCGACTACTAGTAGCAACAGGCTCAAATCCAGTCACACACATCACTACTACTACTACTACTACTACTACTACTACGAATAGCCACAGGAATTAAATTAATTCTAGAACTGTAGGAGATTAGCAAATCATTGACACTCAATAGTGAATACAACAAGTTTATTTGAGAGTAATACTAATTGCATGTGTACATCTTGCTTTTTTGACCCAAGAGTCCTGGTCATGAGAACTGTTGTCGTATCAGTTGAGGTTGTGTATCACAACCCCCCAAAGTAAAAATATGGAGTGGAGGATGAGAGAGTATGGGTTGAATACAGGCAGAATAATTTGGTGCGCCGAAGGAATGCGCATTGTGACTTAAAAATAATCACAAATAGGGGGTCGTCAGTAAGCTTGATAATCATAACTTCACCGTGTTAAGTGGTCGCACAAAAACTACACACGCGGGGTTGCGACCAAACCCCGCGAACACTTTTTGTGACTTAGTACTAGTAGAGGAATGCAGCAATACTACAACTGCTTCTTTGGAATGCTGGCTATATGAACAAACAGAAATAGTGCATGATACTACAACAATGCTACATGGTGGTGGTGGTGGTGGTGGTGTGTCAAAGAAGAATATCATGGAACTATAAACACATTCAATCATTCTTCTTGTCATATTACTACTACTACTACTACTACTACTACTACTACTACTACTACTACTAGTGCTACTTTATTGAATCTGCCATGAGAACTAGTACTACTACTACCAGTAGTAGTAGTAGTAGTAGTAGTAGTAGTAGTAGTGGACAGCAGCAGCAGCAGCAGCAGAAGAAGAAGAACACTACTTGATTTGCGCACTGATTCAGAAAGACTAAAGGGAGAGCCCAGCCATTCATTTGATTTAACAGATTGGTTTCTTTGGCAGGTACTATATGCCTCCTGGTAGTACCCTTCATACTACTGGTGGTAGACATACTAGTGGTACTTCTTGTTCCTCCTCTGTCCCATAATGCTGATTGTACCCTCCTACTACTAACATGTTTACTGTTGTTGTAATAAGCTCAATATTCAAGCAATTTGAATGGTTCTTTTTTATTCTACTGATCTCATTGAATGTTGGTTTCACTACCTACTTCCACCAAAAGTGTGCTCAGAAACAGCTTTCTTCCTCCAATTGACTAGTGTTTCAACCCCACTAGGAGTACGATGACAACACCCTCTGATACAATTTTAAACATTGTATTTATATACAAAAAACTGTGTACTGTACTGAGCTGGTTTAGCTCAGTGGTAGAGCATTTGACTTGTAATCAAAAGGTCGGTAGTTCAATCCTGCCATCCAGCTTTTTTGTCCCGTTTTGAAAACAGAAGGTGTGCTAAAGGGAACATAAGAATGCCGTCACTTACTGTATCAATGCGCACGGTACGTACTCGTACTGCACATTGTCATCGGTTAGAATCGACAACGACGATCGATCCRAAACCAACGACGACGACAATCACATACCGGTAGGACCTCATCCGTCGATTGATGTGGAGGGACCGAAACTGTAGCTTATCCATACGTTATATTACTTTGTATCTGCCGCCGGACTCCGACGAAGATTTGGTCCGCAATCCATTGTCTGTAATCGTATCAAACAATAATGGGGTTGTTGACCATTTTGAAGAAGGCAAGTTCACTCGAGTGTGGAATGGTGTGGTGCCCCGCATATCACAGCACTCTCTCCCAACCCTGGATTTTACACAAAAAGAGAACCTCGTCGAAATTTCCTATTCATCCTACGATTAAATGAAAGTTGAGCCTGTGCACTCACTTCATTATTGAATTTGCTTGTATTCGGTGATGCTGGCATTTGCAACTATTATCCCCCCAATAATACCACAGGTCAAGGAAGAAGAACGCGAGATCCGAATTCTCGTTTTGGGACTGGACAATGCCGGCAAGACAACAATTGTCAGGCGATTGTGCGATCGTCCTATAGACGAGATCGAGCCCACCCTGGGATTTAGTATCCAAACGCTAGACTACGATCTCGCTGACCAAATTTACGACGACGAAAACGAATACTGTAGCAATAATTGCAAAGTGGACGACGACGGCAGCAGCTCCTATAAATTGCACCTGTGGGACATTGGAGGCCAGTCGACCATCCGGGCCTACTGGAGGAACTATTTCGAAAAGACCGACGGGATCGTTTGGGTTGTGGACAGCGGCGACCGCTTGCGACTGAATCTGGTGCGGGAGGAGCTCGCTAAAGTCCTCMAGCAGGAGCGTTTGGYAGGTGCTTCCCTTCTCATATTGGCAAACAAGTCAGACCTGGAAGGTGCTCTAACAAAAGAAAAAATCGCCGAGGGCCTTCGTCTGGAAGACGATCTAATGAAGGGCCAGACCCATACACGCCACTGGACCATTCGRGGATGCTCGGCCGTAACAGCAGAAGGTCTGTCTGACTCTATGGAATGGCTGGTGCGGGATATTACCGACCGTATATATTTTGCAGCGTGATATCGAGCAATATTGAATAACAACGACTGCCATCAAAGGGGAATACTATTCAAAACGAAGATTGGCGTCACAAATAAGGCRAACGATTTAGGCTCCAGTATTGGAATATGACCTGATATAATCAAGCGATCTGAAAGCACTGAATGAGTATTCAGCAATRGAACGATGCAACAAGTAACAGCGAATGCTCTGTAGAATGTTTCAGAAAACGCTACAAGACAGCTTGAGCCGACAACTCAATCGCCTCTCACGAAAGGAATGCCTAGGCCGTGTTTTTGTTTAGTCGAAAACGACGGTSGTTTTGAATTAGTGGGCACTTYTTCCTCGTGTCCATGACAAGAATAYCATGGAGGRAAAGCAATGCAGYGGGTCACTCGGTTTGCTTCATCGAAAAGAGATAGATTTTGAGATTTGCARTATGGCTCARAAACAAATGAGGATGCGATATGTTTTCCGCTCAGTGACTAGACCAACCGAGGAGACTTGTTTGAGAAAATTACAGCCTCAAGTACCACTCATTGAATATAGTAGGGGTATACTCGCCATACTGCACTCAGTGGAATTGTCTGCGTAATTCTTTTCTGAACTCTAGTTCCTACACAAATCTCAAAAGAACAGGTCTACTACATTTTTCTTGCAAATCTTGGTACTTACAGCCTTCGCTAAGCGTCTCTTTCAAATTTGACCATTRTGAACGGATCAATGTTTATGGAGCTTCTTCTGAGCGAGGATCCAATGCTTCYTCCTTGCAGTTCCTGTTAAAGGAGGAAGATTGAAGACAGGAAGAACACTTTCGTTTAGATCTTCCAGAAGAGGTAGATAAAACGATTGCATGTCTTAACGTTCTGTCGTGTTCAATTCGATCCTGCAGTTTTTTAAACCTATAAAGTAGTATTTTGTGTACTGTAGAAAAGGTCAAACTCCAAGAAGCCATCGCTCATATACGACGACCGAATCAAACCAAATCGAATAAATTGAAGAGAAAAGTAATTCCTTCTCAGCTATCGATCGTTAAGCGCTTGTCGCGGCCATTGTACTGCAAAAAACACTGCAGTGAGACCCTCGTTTGCAATTTCCCGGTGGCAGCAGAGGTTTCGGATCCGGCACCTTCGTGCCCAAAGCCAATGGCGCAATGGGGTCGCTGAACACAGAGCAACACCAGATCTCCGGGAGAAACAGAAATTTGTTGCTTGTGCTYGGTTCCCAGAACCTTGCGCAGGACCACCTGCCCCTCTGGATCCTGCGAGGTCAGGTGCGATAGGGTTGGTGCATTCTGGCAAAACATGTGGCAAAACAGAACGAACAGGAAGACATCGATGGCACCGAAGGCAAGAATKAAAAGCAGTGGGTGAGTTCTCATCCGGACATGCATCACGATAGATGACAAACAATGATCCGACCCGCATATGGTAAAAGTATATGCTTTACAATATGTAGAATGCATGAAAGAAACAAACACAAAACAGCATACACAGCAAATCATTTTCAATACAGYAATTGACATACTCGGTACCAATCCCATTTCGAACGGATTCCCAGCGGCCATATTTCCATCACGGSCTGTTCCTCCTTCTTGAATGAGTCAGAATCTTTTTTGTCATCTTGGTTTGTGTTTATTGTTGTTGTTGTCCTTCCGTTGCCGCCGTTTCTGCTGTTGCTGCCGTAGGGCAGTTGCAGGTAGACATTGGCACTGAAGCAACCTTTTTGGTCGTCCAAGGGGGCCAATTCATCGACGTGTACCAGGCCCCTTTTCCATCGGGTCGGTCCGACCATCAATCGTGGCAATCCACCGCCCATGCATCGATTGGCATCGCGGCTACTACTGGACTCATCACCCGCCGACGACGTGTCGCTGGCACGTGCCAGTCCGGCACCTCTGGGCCACAGCTCGTCGAGCTCGAGGCGCAACAAATCGAGTGGCCACAATCGTGGCTGCGACGACGACCGGTTTTGTGTGTGTTGGTGTTCTTTGTCGGAGGGGTTTGCATATACACTTGCTCCGTTTCCCTCGGCACTTGCCGTGGCCGCAGCTCCGGCGTTCGATCGAAGCAAGAGCCCCCTGCGGTCCCGGAGCTCGTTACGCACTTCTCGAAAGTATTGATCAAGGGAATTGTTGGAAACTGCAATGTTGTAGGGCGGATGACGTCCTACCGTGGCCACGTCGGAAGACTCAAGCCCACGACTGGTGGAGACCTTCCAGTTCTGTGCGCTCTTGGTCTTTCCCTCGAAAGCAAGTTCCCTTCCTAGGTCCGAGGCGGCCTCGGCCGGATAAAAGCCGCGGACCCGGAGTGCCAAAATTTCGTGGCGAAAGAGACGCTCGAGATCGTCGAGTTCGAGGGAATCTCTCGTCACCACAATATTGTTGTTGGTGTTTGAACCGTCGCAAGGCTCGTCCATAGGAAGGGGGTTGCCTTCGAATCTCGCGCCGTAGCTCTTTTCCAGCCATTCGAAAAACATCCGCGTCCCATCAGCAGCGGCATTGCCAGTAAGACTCCCGAACTCTCTTATCGCTTTAATCCCAGAAGGAAAAGTGGAATGCAATGTCGACGAAGCAATTCTTGTTGTTGGCGATGGACCAATGGCGACGGCAGTTTGGTGGAATGAGGATGTCCGTGTACGCCGTAGACACCTGCGCAAACTTCTGCCTATTGTTGTCATGGGTGATATGGTGTGGTATGTTGCGGCGCGTTGAGGTTTGATGAAAAGYAGAATGAAACGAACGGAATGGGATAGAATTGACTACAATCCCATGCAGTATCTCAACTAAATTGAGATGAAATAAATGAATCGGATTCCAAGGCGTCAAAAGATGGTACCGGTAGTACTCGTACTACTTATAGTCCCAGCCGCAGGCACGCACGTCCGTATCAAAAAATAAAAAATCAGTCCTGAATGAAGAAAGAAAAATACTTCTAAATGCTACATTACATTAATATGTTATATACATACCATTGATATGTTCATTTTCATCAACGGTTCTAGATAGAGAAATTGCTTCAGCCAATCAAAACCAGCCTTGCGCAGATTTCACGTGCGCGGGTTGGGTGCCTGAATTTGCATTTTCCTCGCTGTTTTTTCACGCGTAACGACGGGGTTCGGTACAACAACTCAACAATTTCGACCAAACAGCGTTACAACGCCTACGTTTCCGTCGCTTAGCTCCGGGGTAGCATTCACAACGCCAACAAGCTACCATGACGAAACTGTCCTTCGCCAACATCGGTGAATTCACCGCMGAGAGATCGAACTCCTTGTTCGAGTCTCACAAAAAGTACCTTGAATGGCGCAAAAGTGAATGGGCTTCACGAGGAGAAGCCGCCCTCGCAAAGAGGGTTGCCGCGCGAGCCTCCACCCACAAATCGTGGCGCCAAATGAAGGGAATGCAATTGTTCACGCACGAGATGAACCACGCCGGCAACAAGCCTTTTGTTATTGGAATGGGGTGAGTTTTCCCGAAGAATTTCTTTGCGAAACGTTGCGTCTCCTTCGGTTCGATCATCATCGTCGTTATAGCCAGGGACGACAACAAGAGGAGGGGGTCATAGGTCGGATCGCAACTGATTGTCCCCCGTTGGAACGACTAATTCGGGGGAATTCCTACATTTTTAAATTGTCCCTCGCTCATTTCTTCTTTTTCCTCGCCCTTTCCTGTCGTCTCACAATCGGTGCAACACAATAACAACATCAACAGTGTCATGTCTGCGATCTACATGTACGCATTCTTGGGCCAATCGGCAGAGTCACGCGCTAATTCCGAGTACTGGTCCAAGTACCACCTGAAGAAATAAACGATTGATTCATTTCATGATGAGACGAATCATGACATTATTCCTCTTCGATCCATTCAGTCGAATTTGGGATGTATCGATTGGGTTGTGACGGAACAAAATTTTGAGCACCAAACCTACACTCGTTTGAATTTTAATTCGTCGAATCCTAATTTAGTATTAAAACAATGCGATTTGCCTTACATCTAACATTTGCTTCAGAATCTTCGATAGATGTTTCCGATCACCTGGTGAATTATATCACACAAGACATTGGTTTTTCGTGCCCCTATACGAGAGCTGAAYCTTACGAAAAATTCAGACTTTCTCTAACAATTGCAGTTTCTGATGGATAAGGATAGAAAACTAGTATGGTGACAAACCACGAAGAGTTAGTTAGGCAGGAATATTAAAGATTCCATTGATTTGGACGTAAACATTMGAGGCAACCCCCGCAACCAGGGCAATTGCTCCAAAGACTATGAAAAACATGGCAAATCCATAGTCCACAAGGCTGGGTTCCACAATGCACTCATTGTTGTCATTGATGGTTGCCGGAGGGGAATCGTTAGTACCCAAGTTATCTGMACTGAGTGTTGTGGGAGAGTTTGGTCTGTGGTGTTCCCCATCCAAAGCAGCCARTCGCTCGCTCAAACCATTCGATCCCTTCAACGCGATTTTTACGAATAGGGGCATGCCCAGCACATACCAAAACCAGGGCTTTCGGTAGCCAGAGAGGTATTCTGTTGAAAATACTTGGCGGGGATCGACCGCTCTGCCMCCGGGCGACATTTGCGCTGTGGCGTCGCCCTCTAGCGGCAAATCGACTTCAGAAGCATTTGAACTCGACGCCTTGTTCGTATTCAAGGCCAGAATTCTGTTGGCCAAACGGTTTATAAAGTCATCTCCGTGAATACCCAGGTACACCAATCCCGGGCCAATGTAGGCGAGACAGCAGCCACCAATCGCCCCCGTTATACTAAGGACTGGACCGAGATCGTCTACAATCAATGCCGGCATCAACGTCAATAAATAAATGAGGAATGTAACTTGGTGCCTTCTGTTCAACACATAGCAGCATTTGCTCTTGCGCTGGGAGGTTGTTTCTTCCCCGGTTTGCTCGTTCGCCACCGTGTCGACAATGTAGCCATCCATATCGCCATTCCACAAGAGCTGTACCAGAACATGCCGAGCCACAAAGGCCTCCATGGGATAGGTGAAAAACATGGTCAGAGCCAGCAGGGCTCTTGCCGTATTGGCGACGACCGTATCTACCCCAAAATTGTTGAGGATATCTCCTTGGGTGTCATCCAAGAATCCAAGATAACCCGAAACACCTAGAACAAGGCAACAGACTACCGAGATCGTCAACGATACGGCAGTGACGACGGACCAACGCTTAGGCGTYGGATTGTCGAGAGACGAAGCTGCAATGAAGGCCGAATGCTGGCAGCACATAGCAACCGTCAAAACGCCAAATCCAATGAAAAAACCCTTGTCGATGATAGAGTTCTTAATGACTTCACCAAAACCTCCCGCTGCCGATACTGTCTCCTGGATAGGCGCAAAAGCTGCAACAAAGACTACCAAAATCATATCTGCCGTCACGCTGATGCTCGAGGTGAAGGCTAGGGAGGAAAAATCTCGTTGCATGGACAAGGGAACCACCACTACCAAGCTCGTGACGATCATTATGAGCTCCCGTTCAAGAAATCCACCAACGCTAGAGTCACCGTCGTCTACCAGGCCCAAGACGACTGGTAGAGTGTCTTTGATGATCAGCAAGTAGGCAACCATTGCCCCATAGGCCGTGACAAACATGCTCACCAAGACAAARGTTCTTCCCGGAGGCCCAAAAGGGAGGCGCATCAAATCGTCGTATGTCCACACACCCTTGCCTCTGAGACTAGAACTCGAGGTCGCCAGATTCACTAGCATGCGCAGGGACTTGTCGGTGAAATAACCCACCAGCAACAGCAGTATAATGCCGCTGACCAGGCCGCTCTGCTGGAGGGCAAAGGGAATCCCAATTATTCCAGCACCGACAATGGAATTGACGAGGTTGGAGCACGCACCGGGAATCTGGGATCGTTTTTTTGGAAGAAGGCTAGGGTCTGAGATCGGTTTGTACTTCGTATTCAGAACCTCCGGAGGCGTGACCGATTGGCACTGGTCTACCATTTCCATCGATTCTGCCATGCTTCAAGTTCGAGGGGTAAGAAGTTTTCTTAATTATTGGTCTTGCTTTTGTTGTTAGGAATGCTCCGGTAGTAATTTGCCTGTTTCCGTTTATGATTTCGTATCTAGAAACAAGTTATTTGTGTTGCTATTCGGGAGAAAGTCAATTTCGCAATCGAGATTACTCGACGGAATGATTCTGATCTTACTTTAATGTCTGTTGTAAGAACGGAATACAGTACAGTACTACTGCTCGTACTGTATCCTGATCATTTTTTGTGCATGGCGAAATCGCGACGACTCGTACTGCGGTACGAATGGTACGTGCTCGTAACTGAATGACACGGTAGGAAAAAGATAATTAATTATCTGTGCGTTGAGCGACGTTAAGCACGTACGAGTATCGTACCATACTGTACAACAGGGGTCATAAATTTATGACCCATGCTTTACATGGCGTACAGCAGGGGTCTAAATTATGACCCCTGGCGTACAGTACGTACATACTTGTACTTCTTACAGCTCCTCATCACCTTCCACGACGTGAGACGAAAAAAGAGTTATTTTTAGGACCATTAACCCATTTCCTCGCTTTACAAATGACATAAACATATTTCTGTTTTTAGTCAATTGTAAACTCATTTCCTTGCATTTTGCAATTTTGTAAACTCATTTCCTTGCATTCTCTAAGTAATCAAAATTCTACCATTAAACAACGGGGAAAACCAATGCTACCACCACAACGCAGTACACCAGCACAAAACAGCAGTCATAAATTCAACAAAGCAACAACCAAAAGACCAAGAACCACCACCATGGTTGGAGGACGCTGGTGATGCTACGGGAGGATACTGATACGGATACGAGCCGCTGATACGGAGGATGATAAGGAGGATGATACGTAGGCTCACTGCTGATAAGGAGGATGCTCACTGATACGGAGGATGCTAATACGGAGGATACTGATACAAAGGATGCTGATTCGGAGGATGAGTCGCTGATACGGAGGCTCACTGATACGGAGAATGCTGGTGATGCTACAGAGGATGCTGATACGGAGGCTTGCTGCTGATATGAGTAGGATGCTGGTGATATGAGTAGGATGCTGGTGATACAGAGGACCTGTTCTGCTCAACTGACTGAGGCTTGCTGATACGGAGGCTCACTGCTGATACGGTGTCTATTAGTACGGTCTACGATTATACCAGTATTGGTGCGGATCCATCATACTAGGGGGGGGACTTGCTGATACGGAGGATGCTGATAAGGAGGCTGCTGATACGGAGGCTGATACGGAGGCTGATACAAGCCGCTGATACGAGCCGCTGGTGATACGAGCCGCTGATATGGAGACTTTTCTGATATGGAGGATGCTGATACGGAGAATGCTGATACGTCTGCTGATACGATTTGCTGATACAAGTCACTGATACAGAGGACGCTCACTGATATGGAGAATGCCGATAAGGAGAATGCTGATACAAGTCACTGATATGGAGGATGCTGATACGGATGCTGTTACAACTCACTGTTACGAAGGATGCTGATACAGAGGCTTGCTGATACAGAGGATGCTCTTCCGGAGGATGCTCTTCCGGAGAGATGACGAGTCGCTCATACAATACAAGAATACGATACAATACAGAGGGGATATAAAACACTAGTACCAATACTATCTCTCCTATTTTCATGCCTTTACTATAATTATTTCTATTGCAAGGAGCACCATTATTGGTGTTTGTCTTGTGTTTCAAAACTGTATTGTTGTACAGTAAAGTAGTAGAACAGTAGTTTCCTGTTGTTTAACGTCAAACTTCTAAATGATGCATTGATTTTTCCTGTTATTTAACAGTAGAATTTTGATTACTTAGAGAATGCAAGGAAATGAGTTTACAAAATTGCAAAATGCAAGGAAATGAGTTTACAATTGACTAAAAACAGAAATATGCAAGGAAATGAGTTTATGCCATTTGTAAAACAAGGAAATGAGTTAATTCTCCGTTATTTTTATTGTAATATGTAGGAAATACGGAAATACTGTACTAGCATACAACGATTCTACAACGATACAGGAGGAGGACACGCAGAGGCGAAGACTGAAGATGTGCAATATTAGTACTAGAGCTACTAAGTACGGGCCCCATAATGGCAAGTTATTGGCAATCCCTGTACAAATACTAATAGAAATTTTTAGCTCATTTTTACAGTTAAAACCAGTTTAAAAAGGCATCCAATTGACGAAAATAAAAATATTTCCATTGTTTAATTTCTCGCTAGTCCCAAAATATTTCTATTAGTGGTCCTTAATATTCGAGATAAGCACTGATTTGATATTCCTAGTAGTAAGGACCAGGAATAGAAATATTTTCGGACTTCAATTTTTTTTGTGTGGATGGGGGGAGAGGGGAAATAAATACGGGAAAATGAGAAAAAAATTGACACCTGGGGAATTGCCAATAACTTGCCGTTATGGGGCCCGTACTTGTTAGTAGCTCTAATTAGTACGGTAGAACATCATGCAGGTGAGGTACAGTCGTACACATTAAAGTATGATGTTGGGAAAAAAATTCCTGAGATCTGATTTTAGGAAAAATAGCATGGGATACAAAGAATTGATACACATTCCGTTCAATGAAGCATTCTTCGAAAAAAATAAGTACAAGAAGTGAATAATACGAAGTAGTATTTTTCGATAATTTCAGAAAGTTAAGCGTCGAAATGACAATACTTCCCATTTCATACTAGAGGTATGTTAACGTTGTCACGGTAGTTGCTACTACTTCTCTCGCCATTGCCATCGTCATCCGTATCTTCATCGTCACTGCCACTTAGATTTTCTAGAATTCGATTCCTTCGGTTCAACCTCGCCGTAAAATAGTCAGCCCTCGTTCCGTTGTGGATTCGGAGGGACAATAAACTGAAAATGAAGCATATCGACAGGCCCATTGCTAGAAGCCGCATTTGTGATACAGAGTCTAGAGGGACGCCTCCGTATTCTTCCTGTTGGTGCTTCGTTCCAACGTGATTGTAGTAGTGCTCTGCCCGTGAGGAATCCGGTGTGGTTGACCAAAAACGTGTTCCCTGTTCACTGTTTTTGTTTTCGTCCCCGCAGATAACCTTTTCGAGAAGTGGATCAGACTCGAAGATTATCTGACCTGAGAGGCCAATGTTTCGACCAGTTCCATAGGCCTGCTGATCGCAATTTGCTATGAGGACATCGTACTTCGAGTCTTGTGACGGAAAGGAAGGAATGGATTTAGCCTTAGGATCAATAATTCGGTCTTTCATCATCATTCCAGTTGGCGGGATATGAAGTACAGTGTGGTATCCACGAAAGACTTCGTGATCTATCAGAAGTCGACCTGTAGTTTCATCGCAGAGCGATAAAAAGCTGGTGTCGTCTCGGTGTTCGATTTTACCGATTCCTTTGCTCGTCAGATCACATGGTGGCTGTTGACCTGAGCGACATTCCAAAGGGATTTCAATTACTGCAATATCAACATACGAGTTATTCGTTTGCCGCCTTCGTTCTTTTTGTTTTTGTTCCGTCTTAGCCTGGGTATTTTGGAGAGAACTTGGACCATCTGCTAGCTTTATGTTATTATTTGTATATCCTGTCGGTTCGAAAGTATTCTCGTGGAGATTGGGAACATAGGCCCAAAATCGCAATTCTTCTAAACTTATTCTTCCCGGAAACGAGATTATATGTGTTGCTTCTTCCACTTGTCCAGGATGAATAACAATTGCCCGTTCCTCGACTTGATCGTGATCATCGTAGTAGTCGTTGTCTCCACCTGGCTCCCGTTTGGAGCGGTAAAATTGTTTTCGAACATAATCCATAGTGCAGGTAGTCAATAATTGGATCAATAATTGGATCAATCTGCTATAATATCAAGCAACCGCTACACCATAAGCAAAAATTACTTTTGAAGTGCATTTAATTTGGAGCGGAAAACATGACGGTATTTCGTTCTTCGCATTTTTCCGTCGTTGTACCGAATTTCCTCGACAAAATCTAGGTTTTCACCACGACTCGTGAGTCTTTTTTTAGTTCGAGGTTCCCCCGGCGTGCTGATGACGTGCGAAGAAGCTACCACNATCGGTTTGTACTTCGTATTCAGAACCTCCGGAGGCGTGACCGATTGGCACTGGTCTACCATTTCCATCGATTCTGCCATGCTTCAAGTTCGAGGAGTAAGAAGTTTTCTTAATTATTGGTCTTGCTTTTGTTGTTAGGAATGCTCCGGTGGTAATTTGCCTGTTTCCGTTTATGATTTCGTATCTAGAAACAAGTTATTTGTGTTCCTATTCGGAAGAAAGTCAATTTCGCAATCGAGATTACTCGACGGAATGATTCTGATCTTACTTTGATGTCTGTTGTAAGAACGGAATACATTACAGTATCGTACTGCTCGTACTGTATCCTGATCATTTTTTGTGCATGGCGAAATAGCGACGACTCGTACTGCGGTACGAATGGCAAGTGCTCGTAACTGAATGACACGGTAGGAAAAAGATAATTAATTACTGTGCGTTGAGCGACGTTAAGCACGTATCGTACCATACCGTACAACAGGGGTCATAAATTTATGACCCCTGCTTTATATGGCGTACAGTACTACTCGTACGGTACGTCTTACAGCTCCTCATCACCTTCCACGACGTGAGACGAAAAAAGAGTTACTTCCTCCGTTCCCAAATAAATGTACCTATGACCCTTTTTTGCTGTTCCTAATAAATGTCCTCATTATCACAACTGTGTAGGATTGTGTGCAGTTTGTACCASAAAACATTTAATATTCACTAGAAGTATTACTTATGCTATTAACTACTTGCACTACTACTAGTAGCTAGCAGTTGCTGACCAGCAGCCAAAGCCTGGAGATCGGGAGGGTACCTTCGCGCAAAAGACTCGCCTTTCCCATATGAGGAAGCTTGTAGTAATTGTTATCACCTTCAGCACCAAGTGTAGCTTCCATACAAGCCTGGAGGGAAAGAAAAACATTGTTCAGTGTTTCCTGCTCAGTCTCATCAAATGCCTTTTCAACATTAGCAATCAAGTGATCAATGTCCTTTGATCGTTTCTTGTATTGCAAACTTTGAATAGAGTTGAAGAAACCAAGATCAAGCACGTTCAAATCCAGACTATTAGGAGGTTGAGTCGTAACAGAAATGTTCCAACTGTTGCTAGCTGCAGCTTCTTTGATAGCATCTCTGATTGACGCCTTGTGAGGCTTCGCATTATCCTCCTGGATAATAATCTCAGGACGGCCTTCCTCGTCATTGCCGCTTGCTCTGTGTGGCCATTTCTCGTAGATAGCAGGAAGAACCTTTTCAAGGAGCATCTTCTTGTAAATGTCACCGTTCACATTGACAGGCTTGGTAATAAGAGTACCAACAGGACGGTTTACAGATCTTCGCTGAGCTGGTTTCTTCTCAACAAACGGCCATATTCCGATTTTGCCATCAAACCAAGAGTTCCGGTTGGTATCCCATCGTGGTCGAGCCGTCGCACACAAGAACATGACCTTTGTCATATGGTTCTTGGACTTGGAGGTTGACTTGGGTTCCGCTTCATCTGGGAGCAAGTATTTTTATTGTAATATGTAGGAAATACGGAAATACTGTACTAGCCTACAACGATTCTACAAGAGGACTCCTAATGTCAAGCGCACTAAAGTCAAGTACTTGGAAATCCCCGTACAAATACTAATAGAATTTTTAGCTCATTTTTACAGTTAAAAAAAGGCATCCAATGGATGAAAATAAAAATATTTTCATTGTTTAATTTCTTGCTAGTCCCAAAATATTTCTATTAGTGGTCCTTAATACTTGAGATAAGCACTGATTTGATATTCTCAGTAGTAGTAAGTACCAGGTATAGAAATAGTTTCAGACTTGTACTTTTTTTTGTGGAGGAGGGGGAGAGGAGAAATAAAGACGGGAAAATTAAAAAAAATTGACACCCGGGGAATTGCCAACTACTTGACTTTAGTGCGCTTGACATTAGGAGTCCTCTTCTACAATGATACAGGAGGAGGACACGCAGAGGCGAAGACTGAAGATGTGCAATATTGGGTGATTCCCGTTAATCTAGATGGTCTAAAAATCTAAAGTAGACCTTTTAGACTTTTTAGTTTAACGGGAATCATTAAAAACAGGGGCCCAATAGACATTTTTAGTAGGCGCTCATTCTGGTCTTAAAGGAATTTGGAATCTCGACGCTTTCTGATTAAGAGAAGGTTTAGTTACGCAGTAAAAAATTTTAAGTCTTAAATGGATTTTCATTCTTGGATTCCGGTCTAGGTTTTGAGGTGTCGATTCCAGCAGACACAAAAAGAACAACGTCGATCTGCAAAAAGAACAACATCGATCCGCACTGCAAGATGGTTTTAACAAGACAGGGACACCAGCAACAAGCTCAACCTGGAGGATGTTGGAGATCCGGAACAAGCAACTATGGCACTCAGGAAACCATTGACTTGATGTATGCCATCTTGGAAAGGCTTCCTATTGGGAGTGACCAGTGGAATGAAGTAGTAGCCACTCATGCCCAAAACTATCCTTACAGCAATAGGGATATCCACTCCATCCATAGGAAGTTTGCATCCCTTCATAGGAAGAACATTCCTACTGGAGATCCTAACTGTCCTTTAGCAGTGAGACTTGCCAAGAGGGCMAAGCGCTTGATTGGAGAGAAGGCTGATATTGGAGATGGAGAGGAGCACTTTGATATTGAAGAAGGATATGTGCATCCTGATGGAAGGAATGGTGATCCTGAGGGTAACCATCGAAACAGCAATAGCAGCARCAACAGTGGCAACGTTAGTCGTGACAGCAGGAACAGTGGCAACAACAAGGACAATGCAAACAACAACGACGCGACAAACAACAACGCGCCCCCTCCTCAGCTAGTACTCCAACAAGAAGCAGCTTCCTTGCAAGAATTAAAAGATTCACAACTTACCAATCACCAGGAAGAGACCTTCGCAGTTCCGGTTGTCAATGCAAGAGCTGTATCTGAACCATCAACCACACCAAGGAGCACCAGAGCCCTGCGTGTCCGTTTGTACAATACAGCCACTGCAAAGAGTGACATTGTAACAGCATTACAGGACTGTGTTGCACAGCATGAGAGAGCAGCTGAGAGAGCCAGGGAAGAAAGGCAGGAAGCCTACCAGGCAATTGGAAGTGCTCTTGGATCCCTTGTCTCCATTGCCATGCAGCACTTCAGTCCTAAAGCTGGCAGGAAGCGCTGTCAAAGCAGCGATGATTCCAAGGATTCTGATTCGGATTCTGATTAGCGCATGAATCCCATTGTCGATTGAATAGTTGCATCCCATTGTCGATTGAATAGTTGCTTGTCCGGAAGAAGCAAGAACAGCAGCGATGATTCCGAGGATTCGAATTCCGCCGATTAGTGCATGAGGAATCCAACAGCAATGATTCCGAGGATTCCATGAATCCCATTGTCGATTGTCGTGTTTACATTATTTACTACATTTAATTTATCTTATTAATAACTGCTTTAATTCCCATCTTCCATTTGGTTTATACTGACTGCTGTGTTATGGAAAAAGCAAGGGGATTAGAATAACTTCACTCATAGGAGTTAGCTTGTGTTGTTCAGTAATGTTTCTACACAGTCTTCAGTAGCAGATTAGAATAACTTCACTCGTACGCCTTAGCTCGTGTTGTTCAGTACTGTTTCTACACAGTCTTCAGTAGCGGATTAGAATAACTTCACTCGTACACGTTAGCTCGTGTTGTTCAGTACTGTTTCTACACAGTCTTCAGTATATTTTGAAAATTTGCAAAGTCAACGGACGCCAAAGAGTCAACGGATCAACGGACACCTACTAAGGATACTCCAACATGCATTGCTTTTATTCGTTATATCCGAAATGAATATTTTTATAGATTCTATTCCCGCCTCGTTATAAGGGATATCCAACATGCATTGCTTTTATTGATTATATTCAAAATGTATATTTCTTATTGATTCTATTCCCACCTCTTTATAAGGGAATCTTTGTGATTCAACGCTTCAATGGTTCAACATTCAAATAACAGGGAGCATCGTGTACTAAATCCAACTTAACACGGTGTAACACGTAGCTTTGCTCTTTGCTCCTCCACCATGAAGCGCTCATTGTATGAATTAGTTTTAGTTTACACCTGCTTGCTGTTGCTGCTATATTGGTTTAAAATGGTATGTTCTTGTTGGGTGTTGACCATGGGAATGAGTATCGGTTGTGCGTACTATCGGTTCTTGCAGTGTGTATCAGTGTTCTTCTTATGTAGTATCGTATCGTTGTTGCGTATCGGTTTGTTCTTGTGTATTGTATTGTTGTTGCGTATCGATGTTGCGGCTAGTATTGGGAATGTATTGTTGTTGCGTATCGGTGCTGGTTCTTGCTGGGATGTATCGATGTATCGTTGTTGCGGCTGTATTGTTGTTGCGGCTGTATTGTTGTTGAGTATCGGTGTTGCAGCTATCATATCTCACCACGACGACGACTCTCACCAAAACAAGTTGTTTGCATCCTCATCAATTGTCACAGTATGGTGGGAGAAGAAGCCTCTTTTGTATTGCTCATTGGGCATGAACACATTAAGGATCTGATTGATGCCTACAGTGCTGGCCTGATAATTATACAGCAAGATTGCTGTGTKCAAGAGAATCTTCCTTTCACCTTGCTCCTCATACCTGATCCTGTCCTTCAGCCTTGGGAACTGTCCTTGGATCATCCTCATGCCCCATTCAGCAAGCTGTCTCAATGAAGTAGCCTCATGATTAAGGGATATAGCAGCTCTGGCAGCTCTTGTGTCTGCTGCTTCCTGGAGGTCTGGATCCTGCTGGGAGCTCCTTACAAGATACGGCTTGCCCATCATTTGGAATGCTGAATCAACCACTACCTTTGCTCCTCCATGCAAATGATACATCTGCTCCATCTTCCTGTACACTCCATACTCTGACATGGTGCTGTCGTGCCAAGACCCAGGGCAGTTGAATGTTGTTGCTCTAATTTTGCCATCAGGGGCAAATACAAAGAGGCTGTTGACACAGGTATCATAGGACCATCCATTGTAGAACATGTTCTGTGTTGCCCAGTTTGAAGATTTTTGCAGTCTCAGCTTGAGGCCATCTGCAGCTCCCCACACCCTTTGCTCTCCAAGTCGAGGGTATTTCTCCCCAATAGCAGCAACATAAGCATCGATATCCTCTCTGGCAGGCGCCTGGATCCTTGCATCTGGATTGTCTTGCAATACATAGACAAGGACACACCGGGAGAACTTGATCCACTTATACAAGACAGTGGAGGTGAGTCCAAATGCCATGGAGAGGCTTCTTGCAACTGAACCACGGGTCCCGAACCAGTGCAGTGTTAACCCAAGGCAGCATGTCGCGTTTGCTTCCCTGTAGGGTCCCTTTGGCATTCCATTCCTGTGGAAGCTTCTCATTCTAATCTTCCCTGTTGCCTCATCAAYCATGTACATGTTGAATACTGGTGCAAAGAGTTCCATTAGACCTCTGAAGACAGCATGATCCACACCACAACAGTTCAGTAGGGCCTGCTCATTGCCAGAACTATACAAGTGGAGGAATGGTGACTGATTCCATCTCCTGATTGCAATCCTTAGGTTTCTCCTATCCCTACGCTGTCTTTCCTCTGGAGAGAGCTCTTCTTTGTCCAGCTCATTGTGGAGAGCTGTACAAAGGATGATGAATTCTAGGGACATGATTGTCGGGGGAGTCGATGTACCTTCTTGCTGATTGCGTGTTGTCGGGGGAGTCGATGTACCTTCTTGCTGATTGCGTGTCGATGTCCCTTTATGATCCAAAATTTCTGTCAGGAAGCATCGATGCCCATTTGATGCAGCAATTCATCTTTTTCAGTTTCGTGTAATCGTGACACTTTAGATTTGTTTTGGCGCGCTTGATTTTGTGACACTGACACAGTCGTGACACAGTCGTGACACTTTAGATTTGTTTTGGCGGGCTCCCCCGGCTCTTGCTGACACTTTAGATTTGTTTTGGCGGGCTTGCTGGCACCATGTGTTCTCAATATTTTGCGAGAATTCAGTTATTTTCTGTTAATTTGAAGCAAAATTCCATATTCCTAAATTAAGCACATGTAGCGCGCCATAATTCAATATCTATGATTCTAAGATTTTACATACTTATTCCTGTTGAGTCATAGACGCAAAGTATGTCAGCATAGATTCTATGTTTACGGGAATCACCCATTAAAGGATGATGATGGGAAAAAAATTCCTGAGATCTGATTTTAGGAAAAATAGCATGGGATACGAAGAATTGATACACATTCCATTCAATGAAGCATTCTTCGAAAAAAATAAGTACAAGAAGTGAATAATACGAAGTAGTATTTTTCGATAATTTCAGAAAGTTAAGCGTCGAAATGACAATACTTCCCATTTCATACTAGAGGTATGTYAACGTTGTCACGGTAGTTGCTACTACTTGTCTCGCCATTGCCATCGTCATCCGTATCTTCATCGTCACTGCCACTTAGATTTTCTAGAATTCGATTCCTTCGGTTCAACCTCGCCGTAAAATAGTCAGCCCTCGTTCCGTTGTGGATTCGGAGGGACAATAAACTGAAAATGAAGCATATCGACAGGCCCATTGCTAGAAGCCGCATTTGTGATACAGAGTCTAGAGGGACGCCTCCGTATTCTTCCTGTTGGTGSTTCGTTCCAACGTGATTGTAGTAGTGCTCTGCCCGTGAGGAATCCGGTGTGGTTGACCAAAAACGTGTTCCCTGTTCACTGTTTTTGTTTTCGTCCCCGCAGATAACCTTTTCGAGRAGTGGATCAGACTCGAAGATTATCTGACCTGAGAGGCCAATGTTTCGACCAGTTCCATAGGCCTGCTGATCGCAATTTGCTATGAGGACATCGTACTTCGAGTCTTGTGACGGAAAGGAAGGAATGGATTTAGCCTTAGGATCAATAATTCGGTCTTTCATCATCATTCCAGTTGGCGGGATRTGAAGTRCAGTGTGGTATCCACGAAAGACTTCGTGATCTATCAGAAGTCGACCTGTAGTTTCATCGCAGAGCGATAAAAAGCTGRTGTCGTCTCGGTGTTCGATTTTACCGATTCCTTTGCTCGTCAGATCACATGGTGGCTGTTGACCTGAGCGACATTCCAAAGGGATTTCAATTACTGCAATATCAACATACGAGTTATTCGTTTGCCGCCTTCGTTCTTTTTGTTTTTGTTCCGTCTTAGCCTGGGTATTTTGGAGAGAACTTGGACCATCTGCTAGCTTTATGTTATTATTTGTATATCCTGTCGGTTCGAAAGTATTCTCGTGGAGATTGGGAACATAGGCCCAAAATCGCAATTCTTCTAAACTTATTCTTCCCGGAAACGAGATTATATGTGTTGCTTCTTCCACTTGTCCAGGATGAATAACAATTGCCCGTTCCTCGACTTGATCGTGATCATCGTAGTAGTCGTTGTCTCCACCTGGCTCCCGTTTGGAGCGGTAAAATTGTTTTCGAACATAATCCATAGTGCAGGTAGTCAATAATTGGATCAATAATTGGATCAATCTGCTATAATATCAAGCAACCGCTACACCATAAGCAAAAATTACTTTTGAAGTGCATTTARTTTGGAGCGGAAAACATGACGGTATTTCGTTCTTCGCATTTTTCCGTCGTTGTACCGMATTTCCTCGACAAAATCTAGGTTTTCACCACGACTCGTGAGTCTTTTTTTAGTTCGAGGTTCCCCCGGCGTGCTGATGACGTGCGAAGAAGCTACCACCACCGGCACAATAGTATTATTATAGTACAATATCATTACTTTTTACTTGTGGATTACGAGTACGAACCCGGCCGATATTTCAAATTGCTTTTTTTGGTCGCGCCTAATTCAATGCAGATAAGTGGATCTACGAATAAGCCTYAAGTTCTCCATGAGAATCCTCTTATCAGTACTTCATAACCATCCACTTGCCATGGTCAGTCTGCAAGTGAGAAAGAAATCAATGAGTATCTTAGAGCTATTGGAGCAAAATATCCAAGACTTGGACAACAACATGTCTGGACAGCAKCAGATGGGCTCAAGGTTGAGATCCAGTCTTCAGCAGAAGAGTGGCTCAAACAAGAGGAGATCTTCTCCTACAATGGATGGAAGGCAAATACTTATGTGAATGGGGTGTTTGTGTTTGCACCTGATGGTAGGATCCGCATTGGAACCTTCAATTGCTCAGGCACATGACATGATAGCTCCTCCATTAGTGACTACTACTGAATCTACTACAACAAGAAGATGGCCTGAGTGGACAGCACCTGTGCTTGAGGAGCAGCAAAGGTTCTTGTTGATTCAGCTTTTGGCATGCTGGGCAGGGGCTATCTGATTCAAAGTTCTCAGAAAGATCCAGAGGCTGAAGACAGTCTCCTAGTGAATAGGGACGCCACATCATTGAGACATATGTCCAAGTGGGGGATGAGGATGATCCAAGGACAGTTCCCCAGGATGAAGGATAGGCTTAGATTGGAGGACTTAGGAGAGAGGAAGATCAATATTTACTTGCTGGTCAACTTGTACAACTACCAATGCAGTACCATTGGGCACAATCAGATCTTGATGGTCTTCATGAAGACGCCGCTGGTGACACAGGAGGCAATGGAGAAGCCTCATGATACCCTCGAGATGTTGACTCTTGGGTACTTTCATGCAGGGAGGAATRTATCTCCAGTTGGTAATAATGCATTCTTTGAATAATTCCCATGGTTGAATTGAATATAAAACAACATCTTGTTGGATTGATTAAGCTTTGACAATGCAACAATGCAACAAAGCAACAACGCAACGACACATTGATTCAAAGCGGCAACAATTAAACACAACATTGATTCAATGGAACATCAATTCAACATGGCAACAATTGAACAAAACAATGCAATGCATGTCTTACAGTGTTAGCTTCCACCATGGTGGGGGGATGATTGGTGAGTTTGGTTAGTTTGGTTGAGATCTATTTAGTTTGAGGAAGAATAGTGACTGTTTTAACACATAGTCAAAGCAAAATAGTGAGCATCAATAGGGTACAACAAGCTTCTTGTTAGCACGCTTTAAACTGTGATGTTCTCAATTTTGCTGATAGTACCAATGAAAACCAGGATTAGAACTCATATCTGATGAAAATCAGGATTAGAACTCATATTGAGCATGTGTAGTGCAATCCCATGAACCAGGGTTTGCTTTCAAATCACATGCATTGATTGGCATTCACATCTATTGTTTGCATACCTTATCTTCATTACAGAATATATTGAGACATCACATTGATCTGTCTTTGTTGTGTTTAAGATAGTATTCTTTGTCATTACAGTATATTCTACATTCAACCATTCCCACAAAGGGTATGCATGAAAACCAACCACTCCCAAAAAGGGTATACACAAAAACCAATACTGCTACTAGCAGCACAGAAAACCACGGCAAAAATCTCAAATAACACGGTCTAGTAATGCATAATAAACAACTAATTGTCTGTTACCAGCAGTGCTAAGAGTACTGCTGATTATTTTACTTTTTGTTGTATTGTTTAACTGGCAGTTTAAATCGTAATCATTAAATGGTACTAGCTAAATAGAAGATTGGAATTAGATTGGAATTAGCCGCTTTCACCATGGGATTCACTGTCAACAGCACTGGTGCAATGGCGCTTGTTACTGTTACCAGGGAGCACCATTGTCATTGTTGATGCAAACGTTTGAGACAAGGTAAGCCATTTCTCATTCTGCATGTTGGCCCTCTGTGCTCTTGCTTTCTCCCTCTCATCAGCCTTCTTGTTGTCTCTTTCAGCTTCCCTCTTGTTGTCCTGTTACATGAGATACTCATTAAGAACAGCATCCTGTTCAGCAATTTCCTTCTTCAGCCTTCCATAGGATCTCCTTTTGCTTGAGGAGGAGCAATGTCAGTTGCAATGATCTTGTCAACGCCGTTAGTAGTCATGTTGGAAGTTGATGCTGTGGTGTCGTCCTCCAATACCTCTATATCCTCATCATCAATGTAACTGTTGACTGGAACAAAGGTTTCCTCTCCAGTTCCAATATTTGCCTTTATTCCAATCAACTGGTGGTGAGCCTCTCTTGCAAGCCAGACTGACTTGGGGACAATGGGATTTCCAGTAGGCGCATTCTGTTTCCTCAATGGATTGAACTTAGTTTTGATGGAATCCTTTGTTCTACCATAGGGATAGCTCTGTGCATGTCTATGAACCACCACCATGAGCCAGTCACCCTTACCAATGGGGAGGATCTCCTTGATGAGAGTCATCAATGAGATAAGCTTGTCTTCCAAGTAGTTTGCAGTACCAACCTTGCGTCAAGACCCCTCTACTTTTGATTGACCTCCCAAGGGAGTCCCAAGGGAGGGACTGGTGCCAGTGGAGGCAAGCAATCCCCGTTACAAGGAGGAATAGTATCATAAGGACCAGTACCAGTCATCTTTCTTGCTTGTGGAATGAATGTTGTGAGAGGGACCTTCTTATTCCCTTTTAATACCTCAACACCTGATACTTGAGACAAGGCCTGCATCAGCTGAGCCTCTCTTTGTTTCAATCCAATGTGTAGCATAGTGACTAAGACAGGAGACATTGTTTTCGTTGTCTGCTTTATGATCATAGTGCTGACGCCTAAGGCGCCTTCTATTAGTAAATTAGTCTTAAATTTGGCTGGTCTTTTCAGTTGAGTCTTTCAATGGATTTTCATTTTTGTATTCCAGTCTAGATTTAGACTTTCTGTCAAGGGTGAATTTAGCGTTGACAGAAAGTCAAAAAAATAAGACTACTACTAGATGGTCTATTTTTGGTCTCCTGTCTGTCTGTCAAAAAGTAGACCATCTAGATTAACGGGAATCACCCAATGATGGACATAAAATTTTGTACAAACGAACTAGTATGCCCTATTTAAAATATGGGGTCTTGATGATTCAATCTTGTGAATTCTATGGAAGTGGTGCATTAGTTCTTGCTTTCTTGGGAGTTTACAGCAGCACAGGAGCATCATGACCTCTGCCTCCTTGAGGAAWATCTACTCTTACTATTATCAGAGTTTGGTACAAGAATGTATTTTATATGTGCTTTTTCTTGTGTTCCTATGTACTRCTAGTAGTACTTGCTCTTGTATGACATAGTACTAGTAGTAGTAAGAATTGAAAAAGAAGCAAGAAGTACTACTACTACTAGTCATACAAAACTACTAGCACTACTAGTAGTTTTACTAGTAGTTTTTAGTACTACAAAGGATGACAAGAACATTTTCAAAAATGGAACGAAAGACCACCATAGCACCAGAAAGGATTGTGATGGGATTAATCTACTACTAGTACTACTAATCCTGTTCTTGCAACAATGTTGCTGCTTGGGGGTGCTGGTGGYATCATTGCTGGTTGTTGTTCTCGTCGGGTTCAGTTGATACACCAGTTTCTTCTTGTTCTTGTAGTAGCTGCTGCTGTATTCCATATTCTCCTGTAGTAGTAGTACTACTACTACTACTAGGTATTAATTGGTGATATCATCAGCAGCACCAATATCATTATCTCCCTCCTTGAGGATATGGAACTGAAGGTTGCTTACTTATTTCTTGTTTGGTACTACTACTACTACTAATAGTACTACTACTACTACTACTACTACTACTACTACTACTACTAGTAGTAGTAGTACTAGTACTAGTAGTACCAGTACTAGTATGAGAAAGGGTGCATCATACTAGTATGTCACACGTACCAAAGTAGTATTACTACTAGAGAAGCTAAATTATTTCTAGCTACTGATCAGCTCCTTCGCTCAGTAATGTAACAATAAGGTTTCACGCATTTTACTAGTAGAGGTAATGAGGATTTCTCCTAGTAGTAGAAGTATTTATTCTGTCATACTTTATCATACTTTAGGTTTTCGAGGCACTATTGCATCTCGTTTCAATCCCGTTTACGATGACCTCACCCGGATTCCAAGTACAACTCACAGTCCAGCACCATGCGCATTTTTCAMTTGGTTCATCATAATAAATTATTGTAATTAAGGCCGATTGGTCTTTGATATTRAATAATTATAAGACACATCAAGATTAACATCGATATTATATTATTTTCTATGTTTCCCAGGCGTCTCATTTTTACTCCTATCCTTTGATTTGATTGGTAAATAATATTTGACAGACCGGTCAAAAAWTCTTCGTTTCTGCATAAATTMTCGTTGTGTGAAAAACTTAATASGGATGTATGTGTGTTGCACCTTCTGGAACTCTTTTCTCATTTCTKTGCTTTTCAAACACCRMAGTCTTTTCTTCCATTATTTTTATTCCACTCGCAGACCCACGACGAATTAAAGACTCCTTAAAACAAGCATGTCTCTTCGAGTCTACATGCAAGACTTGATTCTTGCTCACACAAGTTGTAACACTGATGATGATTACGAAGAGGAAAACTCCATCAAAATTACGATCGTCAACGATAATTCTTCGTCTTCTCTGTCATACAATTACGAAGACGAAAGCAGCCATAAGGACCGCGGACAATGCGACCCATCGCCTTCATCAGCCGAATCGATGCAGATAGTGGAAATTTGTAGCAACTCGTTTACGGACCCTGTAGATGACGAATGTGATAAGTCATCCTCAGGTTATGGCTTACAGAGTTCTGAGCATCGAGTTGCGCAACATCAAAACAAATCGTTATCAGATGCTGCAATTAACAATAAAGTAATGTTAGACGACTTTCGAAGGCGACAGTGCTTTCTCAGAGCCAAATTTCAYCCAAACCGAACCGCACAAGCCAACTCGCAAGCATTGCAGATATCGCCCGAACCACCATTGGTGATGGAGTCACAGACAACGATGTTYGTCACCCCTTCCGCATCTCCAACAAAGAATAGCGATAATGTTGCAGAAGATGAAGATATGGGTATTGGASTTAGCGAGGATAACACATTTCGCTGCCGCATGGCTAGTCTCAAAAGCAGTATCCAGGAGGACCAGGAATCGACGATTCTTCCATTRTTCTGATTGATTAACGGTCGTTTCGTGTGCTMCGGAAATAATTACAACATTTTGCGGTTCATCAAACGATGTACTCTTGGAGAGTTTCCTTCAGAAACTCGGTTTACAATTTGATCAGTACTGGTACTCGTTAACAACCTTAACATAGTTTCATAATTCAATGCAGTGATTTGAATGTATGATAGAAGAGGCTAAAGGKTTGTTAACACGACTTTATCATCTGCTATACGGCAATCATATCGATATGCTTCACATTTCTACTTATTTCTCATAATGCTCAGATAACTGACCACGGTYTCTTCRACAAGAATCGTAAAATAGGCCTTGGCTTCTTGTACAGTACAAAAAATCTACCACTAGTATYGGAAGGTAGAAGTATCATTCGGGTTTCAAGCAGCTTCGGCGCATGTCGTTTGCGACATCATGAGTGTTGCGGTATTTTTTAGGAATCCGTCAAGACTCTCCCGGAACGCAGCATTAGATTCGTCCTCCCCGTTAGCATTTATATTACTGCTATCAGARCTGCCGGTGGTGTGAACTGTGGATTCTGTTGCTCCTCGCGAGGATGCGAAACCACTACTTCGTTTCTTGGATTCAACGGAGATCATAATAATGGACAATAGTTGTTGCAGACATTGCGTTTGCCGTACCCTGTCGTTCGCCAATCGATACATCTGACTCATATTATTATACATGATCATGACAAATCGAAAGGAACTGTTACTCGATGTTGTTGGCTTCGCATCTTCGTCGTCTGTGCTTTTTGAGACTCTTTCAAGCCTTGACCAATATTCGAACATAAGCTCATAGATAAGAAGCGCTTTTCGGATAGATTCCCTGACATTACTGTCTGTGTCTATAACCCTCTGTTCGATTTCACCTTTGTTCTTGGTGGAAGCAATCCTCAAGACCTTGAGATGGTGCGCAAGAGCGATATTAAATAGAATCACGAAGAAGCGCGTGGACCCCATCTCATGCGTATTCGGAATGAGAATGGGTCGTTGGTAGATGTAGTCACTCTCGTCGTTTTCGATTGTTTCTCCGCCCTCACATTGATGATACGTGATTCTTCTTCTCTTGTTGCTAGATTCTGTTCTTGCTTGTGAGTGGCAACAGTGGTTCCCAATATCATTTGTGATGCGAGTATYTGATTGCGACCGAAACCTGTTGATTTTGTGCTGTTGTTCAGAGTACCTTATGCACCCTTCCAAAGTACATTCATTACACATGCAGTAGGTYCTCGGAGTGCGATCATTAGTACTCGTGGTGTTTTCCTCCATAATGTGTAATTCCAGTAGTTCAAGGGCGCGTTGAAGAGACGCAATGGCTGTATCGTAGYGACCATTTTCAATCAGAAACGCAGACGCGTTGTTTAGGTGGATTGCACCTGTCGCCTTGTTTTCCATGCCACGCGATGGCAACGAGAAAGAGAAAGGAGAGGATAACGACATACTGTTGTTCGTTGCTGAAAAGTGATTGTGAGAAATAGTRGAGCAGTTATCTTGTGTTACTGGCATACTCTATTCTGTTCACCAAAATAGTTTGCAACAGTGTGAATGAATGAACTTGGTTTTTATGAGAAGCTCGTTGTGATTCACTTGTTTTCTCTGTTTTGCATACAGTRTGGTGCGTGTTTACTCTCACGCTGTTTCACATTATAAGTACTTCATGCAAAGATGTACTATTCAACAATGACACAATTTTTTCGCCAAGTCGCCGCCCATTTGCACGTTGAGCGTAAAACCATGACGACAAATATTGGTCGCGGGAAGTCGTGCTTCAACATAGCAATSTGAAAGAATCATCAATAATATCATGGCTTTTACTTTCATAATAGCCTTCGGAATAGGTGTGTGGTATTTGTCTTTGAAAATGCGGGTCTCAGTTTTTTTATATATGCTCGAAATAATTTTCATTGGAACTCTCGTAGGAAACGTGTACTGTACTCTTTATCGTTGGACAAATGTCCAAGTACCGGTACCTAATATTTCWACTTGTGGAAGTAATTTTTGTAAAAATTCGCTTAGCGTACCGTACGTACGTGACTCTCACGAGTACCGTAGTTATGTATGKTACCGGTGCGATAGGGGAACCAGGAAACAACAACCAACAGACGCTCTGCCTCCGATTATTTCTCCGACTCTGCATACAAATTCTCTTCTCACTCGTTCTCCATCCGGGATCCCRCATCTCACTCTTTTCTGCCCCGGGATCCAAATGAGACGGAAAATATTTTATCAACAAGAATAACGTTATCGCCCACTATGTCCAATACCAATATTGATATCTCGATCCATGGCCAACATTCAGCATACGGACTACAGCCATTTCACCCTTTTAAAAACAAATGCTGTACCGTACGGTACGTACCACATCGAATTTTTAGTTAGTCGATGAAGTACRCATGAATTACTACCCGTTTCGTAACAATGGGTGATTCCCRTTATYCTAAAATCTCTAAATTTGATAGACTGACAGACCAAAAATTTAGAGAATGTGACTCTACTAGCCTTAGTATATTTAGAACCGGTCAAAGCACCCCGTCCTAAATACTCTAGATTTAGAGTGGAACCCACGAATAAAATTTTCCAGTCTGTTGAAAGACTTATCACATGTATCGAAAATGTGTGTGTTCCTTCATGTGCCTCTTTTTAGTCATTACGTTGTTGGAGTATAATAGTTAAGATTCCAAATTCCTGAAAAGACTGCAATGAAGGCRGCCTTCCTCTCAGTCTGTCTGTTAAAATTTTGATTCCCATTATTCTAAATACCCTAGATCCCTGCATTTAGCGCTTTAGAGTATTTAGAATAAAKGGAATCACCCAATTTCACCAGAGACCAAAAAGTTTTGATTTGAAGTTATGAACTTTTGCTCGTACTACATCATCATGTACCAAGTTCTCCTGAGCTGTTTTTAAAAAATGACTGAATGCAGAAGAAGATTACYCAAAGCAGATCCTGTTTGGATCAATGGATCACAGGAGTTGTGTTGTGCTGGGGCTTGCTCTATTCCTTGAAAAATGGTTTAAAGACAGCACTGGAGCAGCAAGCCAGTAGTAGCTATTCATTGACAACTAAGCAAAGTTCAATCAAAAGCTGAATAAAGCAATTGACTTGTCCCAATTAACTGCAATGGTGCCAGTGGTGAGATGGAGGCCCCAGGCTGTAAACAGTGGCGCATTGGAAGCTGCTGGGACAGAGGGAGTGGCTGAGCTGTGCAAGTGTCCTCATGATCTTCATGTTCTTTGAAATGAATGGGAAGTGAGTGTTGGTCTTGAAAAGYCTGCTAAAGGTTTCACTGCTGCTGAGAGAGGGCATATCAAGAGCAAGTACTGCAGGAGGAAGATGTTCTGGAAGTGTATGAAAAGACTGATTGGTGCTGGTTGAACTTCAGAAGAAGCAATTTTTAYGATTATCTATTCTGTCAATGGAGGTCCAACAAAGGAGGTCTTATATCCTAAGAGCTAAGGCTCCTCATGAGGCTTATGGAAGCCATATATTTCTTTGTAAGGCGCCAACAGCAGCAGCRCCAACAGCTATCTGCTGCTGTCATCATAATTCTTGTTCTTTGTTGTCTATTATACTAGTACTGTTTCCTTTCTTGGTCGCACTTCGATCAAACCTCCTTGGAGGGAAGTGCCGCCCCTTGGAGCAGCTAGAAGTATACTTTCCAACAAAAGCTATGGTTCTGACCATATAATGCCTGTTCTAGTTCACAAGTGCACGAGATTACGTGTACTCTCTTAGTAGGTGTTAAGTGTGTATGAAAATTGAATTGTAAGATTAGATATAAGATTAAGATTCTCGCGCTCGGACTTGAGCTTTCAGTAGATCTGATTAGATCCTGTGTAGCTCTCGGTACTAAATCTACACAGAGTTCTTATAGTTCTGATCTACTGACGTCTTTGTTCCGTGCGAGGTATTCTATTTCTGATATCGTAGACCTCTTACGATCCTCGGACCTCTTACGATCCTCGGGCCTCTTATGATACATCCTATGATGCGTACATAGGAGGCGTACCTTACGATAGGTATGTAGGAATGGTATGATCCTTCATTCCTTTCTTTGGAGCTTCGTATCGTATGTATACTTCCTTTCAATACGTAAGTATCCATTGCAACAGGGTTAAATATAATATTAAGATTTTTTTATTATACTGTTTCCTTTCTACTTCTTATCCTCCCCTACTAATATTAAAGAAAAGATAAAAATAGTGATATACTAGTAGTACTGTATATATTAACTGTRCTCAAACCTCAACAAGAGGAGCAAGTTAAATAGCTGATAGGAGGAGTGTCATCATTGTGATGAGTGTTGTTAGTACTAGGATGATTGACAACAACAAGAATTACCTTCACGACTTGTTGTTGCTGTGCTGCTGGTGGTGTTCTTTTTCATAGAACTTTCCTTGTGTGTGATTGTGTGGGTACTTCTCACCAATCATTACRATGCAATACTCTAGCAGTCCAGTCATCTTGTGGCCCACTGCCTTATAAGACATACATGTTTTATGTACTACAGCCTACACGCTTGATATTTTAGATATTTTCTTTGTGTAGTAATTGCATCTTGCATGGTACTCGTACTACCTACTCATACGTACCTAGGAGCAGAAAGCGCTGAATACTGAATACGATTTGCGATTAACACTTGGAACGCAACGTACGTGTATCTTCTAACCTAACCGTGTGTCCTCACCGTCCTTCATCGTCCGCCTTCGATGACCTCATGGCCGTCAACTTAGAAACAAAATTGCGAGTACAGCAATACAGTGGCGTTGTACTGTTTTAATTTACTACTAGAAATAATAACGACGAAATAACGGAGTCGAAAGTCATCATTTCATATTTGCGCGCACCAAAAAATGAAATTTAGTAGAAGTACCCTACCATTACAACAGGTACTTGTACCGGTACKAGTATCTACGGAAATTCGTCCTTAAATTAATTAGTGGAAACCCGTACGAACGGCAGATCCTCTACACGGCAACCAAAAACCGAAAACAACGATTATGGGACACGAGAAAAAACCGAGGTCGTCGTCGACACAATGTCTTGGTTATTTTCATCGGTTGTTCTCATTGCGCAATAGGATAGAATCATCTGTWATTTTTTTTGACAGCAAAATATTGAAAACTACAACAAAATGATGGTATTCAAGAAGGTKTTCCTAAAGGTTTTGCTCGTGGTTTGCCTGATCGCCGCCACCGGGATTGTTGTTGCTGACGACGAGGCGTCTCCCCCGCCGAAAGATGATGCGAAGGCGCAGTCCGAAACGAAGACCGACAACCGACAGGCACGCCCACTTGCCAAGGAAATTCCGCAAGATACCTTCGACGTCAAGTCTCACTTCAATTGGGGGACMTATTACGATCCCAAGAACGTCTTTTGCGGCAAATACGATTGCTATGGCATCCTAGGGTTTGACTATGAGAGCTTCGACAAGGAAAAACCGACGCAGAAAATGATCACGAAGCGGTACCGAGCCCTCTCAAGGCACTGGCATCCCGACAAGTCCAAGCACCCCGAAGCAAAGGAACGGTTCCAGGTACGTTGTGTTTTTGGAGGAGAAAGTCGCGAGAGCAATGCCATGTGATGGCATGTAWAGGAATGATAATTTGGCAAACGCGGTGACAACCGAAGAATAGATTGTTGAAAGACAGAAGCCTGGGTGCAGAGGTTGCTCCAAACAAGCTGAAGATCAATTCTCTGCGATGCTTGTTGCTAGAATTTTTATTCTACTTTACAATCACCTTTTTGGGGTTGGCTTGGACCTTTTGATCCTAGTCCATCATCAAAATATACGCAAAGAAGCTACAAGGCATCGCTTCCACTGAAATTGATTCCTGCAATTTGTTTCCCTGGAAGCCATTCAATATCGGATTCATACCAGGCAACAAAGCGAAGCAGGGAATGGCACCAGAGGTGTCTTGCTGCATAGATCCAAGACATCCCGAATTGCCAACGATCTTCGTTAGCCACAATCCTCTCGTTAAATGCCGTTCACGCCAAARAGCGCACAGCGGTGTTTTCATCTCTCTAACTTTCTCCTTTCCCCTCACATGTACCTTTGCTCGTTGTCGTTTCATTTTTTTCCTAGAAAATTGCCCGTGCCTACGAAGTCTTGACTTCGTCGAAATCGCGCAAAGAATACGATGACTTGCGATACGATCAAGACAGCTACCTGAAGAAGTATGGATCAGACGTCGTCTTTACGTTTGCGCCGCAAACCGATACCGCATTTGTCATCATTTTGATCATGGGACTTATCAATGGCTTTGTCTATTTCGCTCAGTTCAACCGTTGGAAGAAGGTATGCGACCGCCTCGCAAAGGCCGCCATCGAGGACTGGAATTCTTCCCAGGGTGGATCGCCAGAATCGAAGGATCTTCGGGAACGTGCTCTTGAAATCTATGCCAAAGAGAAGGGTGACTCGAAAGACGACACCGTTGYGACAAAGAAGGGCGGAAAGAAGGGATCCAAGGTAAGCAACAAGGAGAAGAAGGAGCTGGAAAACGCAGCCCTTCGTCCCATTGTCGAGAAACTTGCCTATGAAATCACCGACTTTGGCGCCGGGTTTCACAAGCCGACTTGGAAGGACCTTGCGATTTTGAAGCTTGCTGTCTGGCCSTACCATTTGGCTGTCGGAACCGCCTGGCAGATGAAATTCTGGATTCGTCGGATACAAAAACTCGACCTAAACGATGAGGAAAAGAACGTTCTGACTGAACGTGCTGTCGGACGCGTCATTTGGGAGTTTTCCACCGATGATGAAAGAGAGACCATGGTGAAGCGAGAATTGTGGGACCTTTCGAACCTTAAGGAATGGAACGAGGAACGTGAATTCGCACAGCTATCCAAGACCGAACAAAAGCAGTACAAGCTATGGAAGAAACACGAAAAGATGAACTAAAGCGGCTGAACTTTAGCGCACGCAGTGCATCGCGGCAAAWTGTTACACGAGTGTTCTCTGATTGTTGTCAATGACAACTTGAAAAAAAAACGGCCAACAAACGACAAAAATCTGGACAACACGTTGTGGTGGGAAAACACTTATGTGGTTGATGAGATTGAATCATACACGATAAAGCAGATAAACTTTTGGTAATCTAAACTAAGCTTTTAATATCAGATCGTGTAATACACTCTCTCTGACTGTATTTTTGTGGGTTACCAATTTAAGTTACATAATAGAAAGTTCTCCCTCTATGCTGATTCAAACATTTTGGTGACCACGTATTAGAGTTGTGAGGAGAGAMATAGAGCGGAAACTACTTTTTTCTCCTTCTAAAAATTTATAGCACTTGTGTATGGCCAATAACTTTTGAAGGGTATTGGGACAATATTTTATCGGGAGCAGAATAGAATGCCTGGAATGCCTGGACAACTAAATTTCAATGGCAATATTTGGCAGTAGTGTGTTTCAACTATTGATGAAATCAAATGGTATTTTAAGCATGGGAAATGAAAAAAGGAGGAGTTGAGCTCCTTGCATATGATTAGAGAGCCTTTCTGAAAAATCATATGCACATTAAAAATTTTATAGAGAGTATGAATAACATATGGCATAGAAAAAKTGTCACAACACATAGTACCAAATAGTGCACAGCAAACAACTTACGCACATTTCTGAGGTCAGGGGTGGATCTGGAATAGGGGGTATTCTTGGGTGTTTGACAAAGCAAGCATATAGTCCATGGATGGAAAGAGATCTGAGATGGATTTTGGGGGCTTGGGTTGTTGCTCCCATTGCTGTCCAACATGAATTTCAGAAACAACAACGTCATGACCAGAATCTTCTGGTCTGTACTAAAAAGTACTGGGGGAACTGGTGGTGCATGGAGCTGAGGCTGGGGAGTCTTCTTTAAACTGATTGAACTGAGGASTTTTTTACACATACAGGTCTGGGATGGATAYTARGGGCTTGGGATGGAATACTAATGCTTGTTTTACTCTGTTGACACAGAATTTTAAACAGCAAAATTTTGTAACAGTGGTACCATATACCTCTTTCTGAACAAGAATAATTTGTGCAAGAAAGCTATCCAGACACACAAGAACAATTACAGCTTTACAAATGCTTCACTCTTAGCTATCATGTGAAACCATTTTTATCATATCAAAAATAAGTTGCATAGCAGCATTCCACAAGTCTTCAATTACTTGATTGTACGTCACCCTTGTCCTGTTGTATTACATCTTCAAACACATAAAAAAGGAAGCAGATATGGCAGTGGCTCTATGTACACTTCCAGCATATTATCATCAAGACTTGAACAATCTTCAGACATTTTCATGACAACCAGCAGTCATTCTAAGGTACTAACAAGACAATTCATTCCAAACACAAAAAATCAGTCGTAATCATGTTTGGTTGTTTCCAAATCAAGCATGAACCATTCCTYCCAAGACTCCAAAATTTGTTTATTCATGATTGGTGGTTCCAAAAAGGATAGAGAACACCCATTCCAAGACTTCAAAATCCAGTCATAATCATGATTGGCCATTCCAAAGTAAAATTTTGAGATTAAAGAGAACTCYGTTCCCAAGACTTCATAGATTCAGCTATCACCCATAAAGCTATCAAGTGAAACATTGAGACTAGGCAAAAAATGTATGGAATGCACAATGCTTATCTAAGCATCATTACTAAAGCTGGTATTACTATGAAAGTACTACTTCTACTAATGTTCAGGACAAGAAGTGCTGAGGCAAAAACATGATGGCAAATTACCACCTTTGTCATCACAAATGGTGGGCTGCTGAGAAGAAGCTTTACTTCTCTTCTAAGAAAGCAAATGCTAAATATGAAAAGTTACATGATGGCAAGATCAAACTCAGACACACTTTCACAAAGTAATAAAACAAAGTTGTGACCTAGTACAATCCAAGTGGTATCATTGCAAAATTTTACTAGTGGTCAGTAGGCACTCACAGAGATACAGACTGAAGAAGTCAACAAAGCAAAAAAGAAACAGCAATTTATTGGTTGTTGAAGGAAATAGTGTTTTCTGCAAAGATTACAACATAGATGACACTAGTCACAAAATTAGTTTTCAACCATGTAAAAAGGTGCTTCAAAAATTCTCTGCTAAAACACAATACACAAAATGACCTCTGAGAGATGGTTGCTGCTCCAAAATCAATGATGAAAGTGCCAGTCAAACTAGCAGTTTCTTATGTGATGTTCAGGAAGAATTTGTTGACAAGTATTATGTCTGGTACTGATAGCTACAATAAACTACAGGAGATCATACATCAAAGTTCACACACAAATGTTGAAGAACACTACCAAAAACACCCAAAGTACCACRTGAGTCAAGTGCAATTAGAGTTCACCCCACAGGTGTGGGTATTGTTGGTTCCTCTGCACATGACTCTCACTCAGGATATGAAAGAAAACAAACTAGCAAGTTTTTATCAACTTGTACATGAGAGATTTGATGATGACACCTAGAGCCCAATGTTGCAGTGTATGCAATGCTGAAAGCTTTAAAAATCAGACATTCTTCTCAAAATGATGAAGACCAAGAAAATTTATTTAGCCAGATCCTGGCTGGTTTTATGTCAAAACTTTAYGAGAAACTGTACATTTGTCTGATCAATAGAGAAAAAGAGACCCAAAGGGAAGATTTGCAATTGATGTAACAAATGTACTGTTCTACAAAACCCCAACACAACTTTTACCAATGAAGAGCAGTGTATAATTTCTCTCAGGGGCTAGTGGCACCGGGAGATCAAAACAAATGTTGTCAACAATACCYTCCCCCCCTTCTTCCCTTTCCTCTCACTTTATGTTCACCACACTCTTCATTCTTCTCATTCTTTCATGTTGTCCACAATATTTCTCCCTCCCCCCTTTGCACTCACTGTGACACAACATCAGTAGTGGTAACTAGCTATGCATGCTAATGGCAGCCTAATTTCCTGCTGCTAAAAGGTGCAGATCTGGGATTTTGGAACACAACCACAGCAGGATAACTTAGAATGGTACTACAGGCGCACGTCAAATAACAATTGAATGGGATACTGCATTTTAGATTAAACATTCTGATTGTTAAGATTAACATCACCAATTTCAGAGTTAATGATTCTTGGTGTGTTAGTAGCATTCTGAGTAAATTCTTCAATCATACTATCCCCTGTTATTTAGCACTGTGGAACTACTAGTACTGTCACTCTAGTAGCACCCAAAAACAATTATTTCAGTCTTCTTGTTATTCATGCCCACAAAGATCAACAAGAAGACAATCATCATCTGCAACTGACATTCCACATCTTATACAGTGATACCATCAACCAAAAAATCTTTGTTATATTTAACCTCTTGAACTAGAAGAGGCACTATGGCCAGACCCATGACATCTCCAGACTAGTGAGAAGAATGCTCCTAGCTGCTCCAAGGGGCAGCACCTCCCTCCAAGGAGGTGTTGTGGAGGCGCAACCAGGTTCTATGCACACTGACAAGCCAATTAAGGCATGTTGCTGGCAACCCCAACATAAAGGGGTTGGTTCACAGTTTGGATGGGTGAGAACCATGCCACTATCATTTCAAAGTGCACTGCCAAGCCAGAAGGCAAGTCCCATTGCAGTGTTCAAGGAAGTGAGTGTCAAGAACACTGCCAAGCCAATAAAGGCAAGTCACATCCCAGTGGGTGAGGACATGTGTGGCAGAGTAGTAAAAAATAAAGCCAAAAGAAAAAAGAAAACTGACACACTTCTTTCAAATCACAGCTGAGCCCACCCAAAGGAGCAACTGTTTGTGGAKCATCTTCTTGAAGAAGAAATTGGGGATAGATTAATAAGATCTAGATATGGGGTTAAACACTGGGAGATGTTTTTGTTGCKTTTAAACACAAATGTTAGGGATGGATCCAGCTGAGGCAGACTGCACACTGCTGGTGGGGGATAAAACTGGGAATGATGCTAATCCTATCAGTATCATCAGCATCATCTGTATTGGATTGCTTGGTCGCTGTTGCAGCTGTTGCTGCTGTCTAACACAAATGTTGGACACAACAACAACTTGACTGGAAAACACTTCTGGTCAGTAACAAAAACTGGTACTGCATGGAGATGCTGGGGAATCTTTTAAATTGAGTAAGGTATAGCATATACTCAAGGCATTGTTCTTGAAAGGTCTTGGTTGAATACTGGGGGCTGGGGTTGTTGCTGTTGCTTTCCAACACTGGTGTTAAAAACAACAACATCATGACCAGAAGATACCGTACTTCTGCTGGAGGAACAGGGGGTGGATCCAGCTGGGGCAAACTGCTACCAGCTGGGGAATATCAATACACTTAGAATAGTCTTGGTAAGATTGCTTGGTTAGAAGTGCTTGAATGCAGCCAGGGAGGTGGGTTTTCCCCATTGGAAGGGGATGTCACCATGGTGTTTTTATGCCAGAAGGTGCTGGTCAGGTATGAACTATGTAGGAATCAGTACRAAATCTAGGTGATAATTTTCAGAAGCGAAGTGTAATTTTGTTTTTTTGAAAAAAATGATTTGAAAATTACAGTGATACCATCAACATACAGAGGAATAATCAAATTCAACCAGTACTCATTCTACCTGTAAAGGCCTATGATGGTTATACTATCARCATCATAGWTCATGCCCTCTTTCCCACCATTTAGGTAGTATTGATGGTGCTATCAATAATTAAACWACCATCTTAATGTCAAGATTAGTAGCACCTTTTYTCCCTTTTGGGTACCTTAACCCATCTTTCACTCTCCTGGGGTCAGCTTTGTTGCTTAATGGTGGTTTCATACAAAAGGCCTCCCATGGGGCACCAGACCATTTTTGGAGGAACTCCTCCAKACCCTGCATACCCAATATGAGTTTTAATGTATATATAGGTAATGAACAAAGTATCTGCCAAACGAGCACACTGCTAAATTAGTTGCCCTCATTCTTGTTTGCAGTGGYCTTACTGCCTCTAGAGCAGCACAGCACCATACTGACTGCTGACTGTTGCATCCACACCATCCTGACCCTTCTTTGAATTTACATCACAGAAGATTTGTGCCACTCTCTTTGCACAGCCTACCTTTTGAAAAAGGAGCCTTTCACCAAGTCTGGTAGAACAATTGAGGTCACT